ATCACAAGGATACAAGCAACAAAGTTACAGTCCTGCAGTCATAAGTGGAAGGAGCTGGGTGATAGAAACGATGAGAAGACTAATAATAGTAATGCAGCCTTAATGAATAGTTTGACAGTGGTGAGGGAAATATTTGTTTAGCAGAGTGATGGCATTCGGGGAAAAACTGTTCTTGTGTCTTGCTGTCTTGGTGTGCAGTGCTCTATAGCGTTGATTTGAAGAGAGGTATGCTTCTAACAATAGCATCAACCAGGAAAGATTAAAAGGTGAGAAAGACAAGGGAAACTGCAGACAAAAGGGAATTTCATGCAACAGACTTATAACCACTTGGCATCTATTAGCTACAACGAAATACATATAATTTGAATTCTTTTCTGTTTTAGAAGCCCCAAGGACAGAACAATTTCCCTTTCATTTGCAGCCACTATCAGCTACAGGAATAAAATACTTTCAATCTGGCATTCATCTGTCGGAATTATTAAGCAGGAGGATCTAGTGTTCCAACTTCACATCTCCCTGGCATCAACAAATAAGGATTATCTATCTTTTTTCTGGCAGTAGCTGCTTTAAAGTCAACATCCAGATTGTAAATCACTTGCTATAAAATGATAGTTATAATTACAACATTAATAACTCAAGTCAAAAGTAGATGAATAAGAATCAATAAAATGTAAAAAATCTTCAAATTGAAAACACCTCTTTTGTCTTCCAAACAAACTATTTCCAACCATATCAAAGTTGGAAATACTTGTACCTGAGAAAGAGTGTTTTGCATTGCTTTGGATGCAAAACACATCGAAATGATCAAAGCAGTCAATTCTGAATGGGGAACTGATTGCGACTCAGAATGGATGTTTCAGATTTGAAATGATCTGAACTGAAAATGCTGCATCCATTAACAAAACTGATATAACAAGTGTTCTTGAAAGCTGAAAGCTGATTTGCATACTTTTGTCTGCTGGTGGAATCACAACTGGACTCTGCGGGGTTAGTTTTGAAATGGCAAAAACAGTTCATTGATATTTTTAAAACAATTGCAACTTATTCTATATTATATATGTGATGAGATTTTCAGTACATACTTCCCAATTTGTTGCGTTCGATCCTAGATATCCACTAAATGCCTTTTTCCCCCATGGACACTGTATTGGGTTGCAGATTGGAGCAAATGCTGAAACAGACTATTTAGATATTGGTGATTAATGATTCAATTTTTTTTTGCACTACAATGTGAAATTATTTTTCTTCAAATAAAACATTTATGAAATTCCCGTTTACAGAGTTCCAGAACATAGCTTGCATTTATTTATCCTACAAGGCTGCTTATCACACACAGTGCTTCTAGGGAGGCTAAACAACCAGTAAAAACCAGAATAAAAACAAAACAATCCTTTCCCCACCAGCTGCCAGACCAACCATACTTATCAATTATTCCTTGATTTAATTTGACACATTAAATAGTTTGAACCTTACTTTATATTTTCCAGGATTCTTTAGGGCTAGGATGAGGGCCCCATGGCCTCCCATGGAATGGCCTGAAATTGACATCCTTCCAGAATCAACTGCGAAACTGGCATTGATCAGATTGGGCAACTAACAGAAAAAGACAAAGAAGAGGAAAGTCAGCACTATACTGCAGTCTGTAATTATATTATGGTAATTGTAGATCTCTCTCTCTTCCTCCCTCTCTTTTTCTTCATTTATATCATCGTTTCTCAAACTTTTTTTTGGGGGGGGGGTTGTCACTGTCCCTTTACTTGTTCCAAGTTCTTTGCAACACCCACTGTCCTGTGTATGTGACTTGCAATTATTTTTAAAAAAACATTTATTGCATTTATTTCTTTGCTAACAATTACAAATACATAGTTAAGTCATAAAGTTACAAGTCATTGTAGTAATAGTTTAATATTTAATGTGTAACCAAGTGTGCAGCTTATGTGAATCATATTGTTGCACTAATACCTAGCACAATTGTATGCTTTACAGCATGAAGTCAAAACAGTCCAAAGTGTGATGCTATTTTAAGTATGTAGTTTGATGTATTTATAATAATCAAAGAACACGTTTAGAGTTTTATACACTCAATAAGCATTTGATGGATAGGTGATGCATAATCTGCTTTCATTATCCTAATCCTTCTCCTCCTCTTGGCGTCATGTCAAGTAATGCCCCCCCCCCCAGCTGTCACCCAATGCCACTCAAAATAATTCAAATGTCCTCCAGAGGACAATATCGCCCACTTTTAAGAAACACTGATTTAGATTAATGTAATTCAAATTACCTCATCTTTTATGTAAGAGTACATGCGATAATTTGTTTTCCATAATTCTTCTGTGGCATCTACATAAAAACCGGCTCCAGTGCCAAAGTCCCAGCTCTCGTCTTCTCCTTGAATATTGCATCCACCTGCCACGGAAAGAAATGTTAATAATCAGCAAATTACAGGAACGGAGGTCGATACTTTGTCTTCATGAGCAGGAGGGCTAGCCCACAAGGCTAAGGGAAAAATATCTCTCTCAAAATCAATAATATCTTCTGAAACTAATTCTAGGCAGAAAAATCTACATGGTAATTCAAAAATTCTTGCAGAAACTTTGCTGAGCTGTGGAAAGTCAGTTCTGAAACTTTAAGTAAAAGCTCAATAACTGGCTTTGTGTCTTGTAAGAAAAGACAGATATTCAATGCGGGTGCACATTTTTTCCCAGTAAGAAGACTACTTCTTGGAAAAACATATTATGACTGGATTTCTGGTAATCAGAAAGAGCCCACTGGGAAAATATTCAGATAGGATATCAAGATAGGAATATAGCCATTATAGTTCCTGACCCAGTCTTAAGAGTTATGCCTACAGGACCCCCTTCAAAATCTATCTACCATTAATATTGATGAAAGACCCTGCCAATAAGCTAAATTTCATGGCTGCCAGTCGAGCAGGACCATCCAGTCACTGATAAACTGGCTACATTTATACACAGGAAGCCCATCCCCCAAAGTGTGCGCTGTTCAGCCCTTTTGCTAGACAAGCTACTAAACAACAGCTACTTCAATTCAGGAGCAAAACGCAGGGAAGGCAGGACAGAAAGATAATAATTTCTATTCTTGCTGTTGAGAAAAATTTGAACCAGTTATTGTCAAATGTAGCGGCAGATACCCTAAACATGAGATACAACCAATAAAATAATTACTATTTACAGATGTATTTGTACATGCAGATAGTCCTCGCCTTACAACTGTAGTGAAGCCTGCCCAGTTGTAAATCAGGTCACCCACATGACTGATTCAATATTATGAACAACTTTGCAGTAAGTGTTAAGTGATCGCCGCAGTAGTTAAGCGAACCAATGGTTTCCTGTAGGGCCAGTTTTGCTGAAAACTGAAATAAGTTCCAGTTCTAAGCAAAACTGTCCCACATGATAACAAGATGTTACAAGCAGCCATAAATGCAGGACAGGTGACAAACACCAGGTATGTGGTCATGTAACCATTGGCGGGGGGGAAACAGGGGACAGCAGCCATTGGCACTTGGGAACCAAAATGTACGTATCCCCAGGGAGGTCCATTATAACTCTGAACAGTTGGTAAGACTACCTGTACAATCTGGCTTAAGTTTACTAGAGTCAGAACATCTGTATCAACGCCATGAGTAAACCAATTAAGCTGATGCTTTTTAATAAACCACTTACGTGGGCTGGTATCTGGAGCGACTACAATAAGGCCATGTTCAGCTGCAGCTTGATGGAAACCACCTTTGGTTATGATGTTTTGTTCTGTACATGTTAGTCCTGAGAAGAGAGAAGAGCATCTTAATATTCCACATTCCTGGTTACATTTTCATTTCCTAGGGAAAAAATGAATCACTTATTTGGTTTCTAGATTCTAACGATCAAATCAACTTAGATATTTTTATAATCATTGTTCTTCAACTTTGGGAACTTTAAGAATTCTGGGAGTTGAAGTCGAAGTTCCCAAAGCTGAGAAGCGCTGTATATACTCCTCCGATCACCACGCTCTGGACAGTTTATTGTCATCATAAGCAAATGTGAGATAAATTCATAAAACTCCCAGAACTGCCACAATGATTCTTATGCAAGCCAAAATAAGGAATATAAAAAACTGCTCCTCCCAAGCCCCCAAATCAGAACTACTACAGTCCAATAAATACTCAATTGTACATAGTAATTTAGATTGGGAAATAGCATTCAATGCAGAAGCAAGAGAAGTCCATTAGTGAAATCAAGTGCCTTTCTTTAATTCACAAATAATTTTGAAATGCTCACCTGACAGCCAGTACAACACAGGGCATTTCTCAGTTACTGCCTTCGGTGGTAAATAAATCCCAAACTTCATTTTACATTTCAGCTCCACACTATTAACAACAATATTGGAGTTAAGACAGAACATTTTTTTTAAGTCTAATGTTTTTACTGGACTGTTTATTACCGCTTCAGCAGTTTTGCAACTTGCTTGGCTTACTCTGGCTTTGGGAGCTGATTAATATACAACAAATCACTAAATCATGGGTCTCCTACCTTTTGGCTTGCCTGGGCCACATTGAATGAATGTTTTGAGCCACATATAAAATATATAGTATAGTTAATGCATCCAAATAACAAACTTCCTTTATTTTTAATATTTTTATTATATCCTGTGGGGCAGCATTCCTAGCTATCCAGAAGTACGTACATCCCATGTCCTGTGGGTTTGTTGTATATTAAT